TTTTTTTTAGCAATGGAAATAAATTTTAAGAATTATTGTAAAAAAAATATTTTCCTTTAACTGGCAATTTTCATGTAAAACAAAGTTACACGAGCACCAAAAGATAGATAATTTTCTTGAATTTCTTGAATTTTATTTTTTTTGGACAACGGAAACAAATTTCATCTTCAATACTAGTAAAATCTATTCCTTTAATTGACAATTTTCATATAAAACAAAGTCAAACGAATAACAAAAAACACTTTTATTTCAACATTTTCAACGTGAAAAATTATACTAATCAAATACAATAATTTACAATTCCTAAGAAAACAATTTCTACACAATTCAATTCCCTGAAATTCATTTTCAATTCAATTCAATTCCAACTTTGCAATCAAACGAATCCTTACACAAAAAGAAATCACTTCCATCCGGTTTAAGAGTGCTAGTTAAACCAGCATTAACATTTGAAATGGTTAGTTTGACACAGGAAACTGTTTAAATATTTTAGTAAAACTTAGAAAAGGAGAGCAGATAGATGAGTCAAAATTAAAGTTACTGTAACAAATATTAATGTTACAATCGACAAAGTTACTGTAACAAATCTTTTATGCGCAGATGGTTTCAATTTTCCATCAAGGGATTTCAAATAGATTTGTTGCATCAAACGAAGATATATTTCAATATGGTATCTCCTCAAAATTTCTGAGGACAATATCAGAAAATATAAGCTTTCTAAGTCTTGGTTATAACATCCAAATGAAGGCTATCTTCAGTCTTCTGTGAACATAAGATCTGCAGTTTAACCTTTAAGAATCATATGAATTTAGTGCAAATCTGAAAAAGATGGCGACAGAGAGAAACTGAAAGTATTGCCTTATACAGAACCATAAGTTAGAAACATGAAGTTGTAGGATAGGCCTATTATAACATGATATTTGCGCTCGACTTGATAAATGTGACTAAAGAAGAAAAAGAAGTTAGAAGTTTATGTTTATCTGTTGGAAGATTTCACTTGGGCTCCTGCAAGGATATGACAGTTTCAAAGGCCCCGGCAAGTGCTTTCACCTTATTTTTCCTCTGCTCGCGAAGCAAGCTTGCAGTCTCCTCAATTACATCATTCGAAACAAGGGAATCCCTCTTCTTTTCGTTGTCTTCTTGTTTCAATTCCTCATTGTCAGTCTCCAGCTTCACTTCCTCAACCACTACTTTCATTTCTTGTTCCTCAGAATCAATACTTCCACTTCCATCCAATGCTTTTGCTCCTCCCATATCTTCAATTTCTGCTTTTGAATTATCTGCAAGAATTTCATCAGATTCTGTGTGATTGTTTTCATTTACAATGTCCTCTTCTAATTCCTGCTGATTTCCTGTGGTGGTTTCAATCTTTGGTTCGTCTTCTGGTAATTCTTTCATCTCTACTTCAAGGGAGACATCTGGCTGTTCTGGAACTGTGTACGACTCAATAGTCACAACATCCTCGTCCGGGATGTTCTCTGGTTCAGCCTGCCTTGTAATACTTATAGGTTTCTTATCTTCCACTGCTAAAATCTCAGGTCCCAACTCATGCATTGTCTCTTCATATTTAGCATCAGTAACTGAAGATTCTTGCTCATCTTGCGCTATTTCAACTTGTAATGTATCAGTTTTATCAGGACTAGTGACTTGTTCCTTCGTTATTGAACCGCTACTTGCAGTGTCTTGTTTCTTATTGCTATGGCTACCCTTCTTGGTAGCACTCAAAGGTCTAGCAATAAAAGAGCGTTTTCCGGCATCCTCTGTTGGCATCTTTAATAACTTATCCGTATGGATTTATGTGTAGTCGTGGTCGTTTCACTCAAAAGCGAGGAAGATCGAAGAGCCGGACTAGGCGAAACTAGTGTTTTTTGAGTACTGGATGGGGACGGAGGCATGTCGAAGGATTTTCTTCTTGCAAGGTTCGGCTTGTTGGCGTTGTCAGTCGAAGCAGGTTTCTTGCCAAGCTGTTTAGAAGCATCAAGACCTGAACTTATTGTAGGCTTGAGATAATTTGGAACTTGTTTATCTAATGCAGTTTATCGGAAGAGCTTGGTTTTGAGTTGGGAGTTTTTTTGGGGTATGAAGTGGAAATTCCCATTTTTTCCTTACCAGGAGCAGTCTCTCTAATTCTTGTTGCCATTTGTAAGTGAATGGCAGTTTCTTTATAGCCTGCGTTTAAAAAACATATTTGTAACATAAATAATTACATTTGGTTCGAATTCAAATCTCTCCTCACCCACAATCGCTAATGGCATGATCTTCTATGTCATATATTTTTTCATTTTGTCGAGTGATTTATGTTTTTACGTATAACATTCAGACAAAATGACTCTACCTATATACAGGGCCAGTCCTGTGATTGTCGGGGCCCGAGGCAAAGCATATAAATTAGGCCCCCTCCCCAAATCAACGTAAATGCAATGGTGTATTAAGCAACTTATTGCTAACTAAAAATTTAACATTAAAACAACAAACAGATATATTATATAAAAAATTTATATTATCAAATAACAAAATCAAAATATTTCAAATAATTAGTTAAATACTATTCGTTTTACTATTTTAGAAGCAAAAACATTAATAAAATCTGAATAGTTTAGCTGTTCAATTATTTCTTTCTCTATTGATAACATAGTCAATCCATTCTATCTTTCTTCTGACATAGTTGATATTATAGTAATCAATCATATAAGCCAACGAAACTGCAATTATATAAGCCGACAATGTTCCAAACATTTCCAATCTCTTAAATAACAAGTTAGGGAAAGCCACCGCTTACTTGAGAAGCAGAATTGCGGCGAAAACTGTGGAATCACACCCTCGAGAATTCCATCATCATAACTTATGAACCTGATACTAAAATTTAACATCAAACACCAATACTAAAAAATAGGCGCACATCTAGTCAAGCTTAGGGAAATAACAAATTTAATAAGAACTAATCACCATTAAAACACTTTCATCAACAAAATAAATTAATTCAAATTAGTATACTGGTTGTAAAAACTGAAGATATCTTTTCTTGAGTTTATTGACATAATAATATCTCAAGTTCTCAACTATATATTCTCACACCTTACCTATCAAACTAAGTTATTGAAATTAACTATAAACTATTTCATACATTAGTCATTACTTGAGATTTGAGAGTTCTTCATCTCAAACTTGTACAACAAATTATATATTAATCAATAATCATTAAACATAGTTGTAGCATTTTCAGGTCCTCGACTCCATCCTAGACTAGATAATAGTTAACCCATTAACATTAAAGTATTTAACAGTAACATAGAAAAAGAGCATTTTTAATTAAAGTCAAGTAATCAAAATTATAATAAGTAAAAGGTAACAGCCATGAATGAATAGTTGAATACTTAGTGCAAATGTAATCATATAACTCAAAAGGAATTAATAATCTTAACATACTAAACTAACAGCCAATTGCCAAGCACTTGCTTGCTAACAGAGGTGAACAGTAAACTATGCTCTGCAGCGGAATGGAACCAGTGTGAACTACGACGGTGTCCGACTCTGTAGACCGTGACTGATGACTCAAAGGAAGAGGAAATCTAGAAGTCGGAATGAGGAAGTCGAGAAGAGAGACAGAGGCGAACGACGATGCTACGAAGGGGACGAACTATTTAGACGAGCGTTTGGGAGAAAGGGATTTTTGATTGGGGATTGAGAAATTGGGAATTTTGGGTAAATGATGGATAATTGATTATGATTTATGGATGTATAAGTTGGGTAAATGGATTACTAAAGGTATTGGATTTGGGCTTGAAGTAGTGGGGTACTCTTCTTCATCGCTGGGTTTGGTTCAACTGAAAAAAAAAATCTTGGTTGAAAATGAGGCCCCCTTGGAATCTGGGCCTGAGGCGTAGGCCTCATTCACCTGGCCCCAGAATCGGGCCTGCCTATATATACTATGATGTTAGAGGAGACATCCCTATTTTCCCCTAAAAAAACGTTAAGACATTTAGTTACCCCTTTTTAACCATTTATGAATACGACAATGAATTATTAATTTGTCTATCGACTCTATGTAATTTTGTGTTTACATCTTATCAATTTTAATATTGCATTAAACACAAACCAAAAGGTTTATATAACGAGAAAATGAACTTTGAGAGAGAGAGAGAGAGAGAGAGAGAGATCACCTTGTATAAAGCAAAATGATGAAAGCTTATTTGCTTTGAAAGTTGATGAATGAGAAAATAAAAGATTATTAGTAGCCAAATATGGGTAAGTTATTCGTTATCTAAGCGGAAATTGTTAGATATTTTTCATCATTTTGCATGTATTTATTTTTGTTTTGCGAATGATTTGCCGCCCCAACTAGTGTTTGCTGCTGCGCAACGAGGATCGACCTGCCCGGTCAGGTCGCGGGAGTCGAGGGGCAGCGCCCCCCATGGGGGCTCAGGGGCAACGCCCTCAAAAGAGAATTTTATTTTCAGAAGGCTTTGAATAGGTGCATCTGTTCGTTTTTTAACAGTTACCTCCAGTAGATTTATGTAAAGATTTCAAGGGATACACCTATTCAAACGGTTGCCTTAATTTCTATAAATTCTGGGCGAATTCTCGTTTGCAAAACACATTAAAAAAAACTTATTCTTCTTTCTTTCTCTTGGCATCAATCAGTTATTTTCGAGTGTCTTCTTGGTTTGGTCAAATAGTCACAATTTGAATCAAACGTCTCCATTGTATCCTGAGAGAGATTTTCTATCATATCCTAATTGTGACTTTGTTGGATAGGGGAGAAACATCTCTTAAAAGATAACGTTTTTTCGTGCCTTGGAGTTCATTAAGTATTTAGATTTCCCTATATTTTTCACAACAGAAATGATGCACAGCCCAAGGCGCCAATTGGCTATTTCAAGCCACACATTTATATGTATACGTCGATTAACTTATTATGCCCCCTTTTGTAAGTATAAGTATTCACTACATTGAATTTGTTACTATAAGTCCAAAATGAATATCTAAAATACTGTATATATGCCTACTATATAAAAAGGCGAACGGGAAGTTACTGTAGTTAGCAACAGTGAATTCTTCCCATCATGGGAGTAAAAACGACGTCGTGTTTTCAACCATTTCTCCATTCTCACACACCAATTCATGTAATTATTATCTCCACTGCAATATTTCTCTATTTTCACACTTCACTTCACTTCATCCACACGGTCGGTGCAATAACTTTTCATTTCTTCTCCACCTTCCTTCTTCGTTCCTTTTCTTTTGCGTATTCGGTACCTTTTTTTTTTCTTATTTGGATTTTAGTAATTACAGGTGTTTGTTTTACTAAGTCTGATGGATTTTTTTGAACCCTTTTTGGATTTTTATTTTGGGTCTATTTTTTTTGTAACTTTCTATTACTTGATTGCAGGAATTCGTTGAAATTATAAGTGAAATTTTGAGTCTTTTTGATTGAAATACTAGGTGGGTGCTTTGGATTCTTGTAATCACATTATGTTTTAAGAATCCCATTTTTTTTGGTGATGAATGTGGGTGGTTGGAAATTGGGTTATTTGATGATTTTCTACGATGAAAAAAGAATGCTACAGTGTTTATATTTACTCATTATCTTGATGTTTGAGATGATTTTTTTTTTCAAAAATGGGAAAAGTCAAGATAGTGACTAAAATCGAGAGTCCTAATCCTATGTATTATTCTCTAACAAATGGAATTCAAATTTATTTAAATTCATTGAGCTATGACCAAAATAAAACTTACTAAAAAAAGGAAACAGCGCATAAAGGAAGCCTAAACGGAGCAATTTGCCCAAAATTGGCCCCACTTCAGCACCAAAGCTACTGAATTTTGTCAATTGACAATTTTCCAATTAAATTTGACTAAAATTTCATAAAAAATGAATAGCCTGAAAATTTTTCCAAAAATGGGGAAATTGGAGTTGTTAGCTTAAAGAAAGAAGAAAATTTTCTCCAAAAACTGTGCATGCTCTGTGCTGCATGGAGTGCACTCTCCGTTTGGACACTCTGTGCACGGATTGTTCACAAGGAGAGAACACTCCGTGCTCGGATTGTTCACACGAAGAGAACACTCCGTGACGGAGTGAACACACTGCAGCACGGAGAGTGAACACTCTGTGCTGCTGCACGGTTTCACTTCGTGCAGCATGGGTGTTCACTCCATGCAGCACGGAGAATGGGGAATACTAATACTAAACTTTTAATATTTTCCCAATTCAATTATTTGCTAGGAAATTCGGTGTTTTTATTATGTTTGTGAAATGTGTAGAACTTGTTTAATGAGAAATCAGCGGATTTGTACGCAAGTTTTAATCTTTATTTAATAATTCAGCTATCTCTTTACTCATATAGAATATTTTCATTTTGATCGAAAGCAATCAGTACAGTTTAATCAGTCTCTCTCTCTCTCTCTCTCTCTCTCTCTCTCTCTCTCTCTCTCTCTCTCTCTATTTTATAAGCCAAATCCGGTCGTTTTAGCTGGAATTGTGAAGTTTTCATAGTAATTATAGTTAGCTTCTTTGAGGAAATCAAAAGTGAAATTACTTTTTTACTATTTCTTAATCTTTTTTAGATTTATATATTTCGGAGAAATTGAATGTAATTGAAGCGGGGTGATCAATTGTAACGTTATGCTTTGTGAAATTCAAATTGAATTTTTTTTTATTTGATCTAATTTTAATTTCAAGGGGCTTAATTCCTTTCCTCAAATTGCATGTAATTCATTTCTTTGTAATATACAAGTATTTATATGTGATTCAAGTGCTATGGCAGTGAATA